CGATTATCACATACATGTATTACTGGTGTTGTTGTTTAAGACAATTCCCGACCCTACTCACCATCAATTGTCGTTTACTTCATCCCTCGTTTGATATAAATACATATTTATAGGGCCAATTACCCCTTTACCTCTATTATCTTGATTATTTCCACTCCTCACTCACCCCTTTCACTCCCAAATTTCAGTGGGTGGTTGGTGGGTGCTCTGATCTCGTTTGCTCCATCTTTCCTATTAAACACCTCTCTTCCTTCTTTGCTTATATTATGCTACTCTCTAGTTACACTTCTAATTTTCGGCACTTCAATGACCTATTTGTGCTGCAAGTGCCGTGAAACTCTTCCTTAAACTGGATTCTAAAAACACACCACTTCCTTGTGTTGTTTCCCCACAAGTCAAGAGCTTAGCGGTGCAGGCAAAGATCCTACATAACAAGATACAAATGTAGTTCCATCAGCCAAAAAAGGGTCCGCGGAAGTCATTGTTTTGAAGCTCTCTTTCGTTTCTCCAGAAGAAGAATAGGAATAGGGCCTAACACAGTTTTGTTAGTTTAACTTGTATTGTTTTTCCACACAAGTAGGGTAACTCTGATCACAAAGTGTGCACTTTTACGAAGAGGGCGCCACCGAACTTTGAGGACACTTTTTTTAATTGGCTCCAAAAGAGGAGTGAATACACACCTTGTTATGTACGATCTTTGGCACAGGGCTAGTATAAGAGAGATAATTCATGTAATGAAGATAACTTTGACAAAGTTGTCTCCCCTGAACCAATTGGTCGGTTAACATTGACGTTCAAGACAATGCAAGTGGACTTGAATGAATTGGCAGTTTTAAATGTCATAAAAATTCTGCAACTCGGTGTTTCTTTTCTAAAGCAGATTTAGCGTTTGCATTTTTAACAAGATTAAGGCAAACATTATACACGCACCTATGCCTAAATATATTTTACTTGGAGGAGTGGGGGGTGGGGGTGGTTACTTGATCTTATCGGACATGTGGTCCCGTACACTTTGAAGAAGAAAAAGTGAAATTAATTCAACATCACCTCTAACCCCACTAAAAACGAACAAACAAAAAAGAGTAATCAGCACTAACCCCTACCAATAAGTCCCGAAATACCTGAACTTAAGTTGACCCCGTCAACGGACGGTCCCCGACACGCAGGGCTCACACGGCGATGATATGTCACGTGACGCGAATGTGCGATTGAAACAATACTAACGGGTTCGACCGACTAACTGGTTCAGGCTACTGCACGTTCACACAAAACACTCGGATGAGCGACAGTCGTTCTACTTCAAGGATAACGACGGCGGCCGACCGACCAAATGTACCAACAAATCTCTTATCCCTCATGTGTTCAGACTAAAGCAAAGGCAACGGCGTATGTTAGTCTTGTCAGCGCAGTTCCAAGTTCCATGTAGTTGTGTAAAGGTTAGAAAGACTGTCCCTT